GTTAAGACTGTACATTCATTTATTTTCGTTGGTAACAATTTTCGTGGTTTTAGGATATAAGATTTCGGGGTTTTGCCAAAGTTTACATATATGCCTGTCGAAAATGTTTACTTCATCGAAAATTTGAATGCGTGGTTGATCCACGAAATCCATTTAAATTGGTATCCCACGAATTAAAATGAATTCACTGTAACTTGTTTTTCAATTTTAACTTTTGCCATCTGGAAAAGCAAACTTTGTCCTTATGTATGTACGTACCAAATCTCCGCAAAATCTATTTAACTTCACTAGCATAGCAAACCACTATTACCAAATTGACATATCAAATTGCAATTCGGTTATGTAATGATGACCCAAAAAAAATCTGTGAAACCAATATTCCATAACGATCAACCTTCTCGCACTGGCGTCCAACGTTCAACGAACTTATGATGGTTGTCAACCAACTCGTAATAATGAACAACCAACATTGGATGGAGGTCAACCAACTCATGATGGCGTTGAGTTTTGAATATTGGTTTTAGAAAAGCAATGGACTGCTTATCGGTCAATATATATTGCTTGCTTTTTTTCTCAATAAGACTAAGCAAAATAAATGCATCATACTGGTGGAAAGAATTTGACAACATACTTTGATATGTTCACCCTTTCTATATGTTCCTATAATGTACATCTTTATTGTCTTCATTGGGCCCATAGTATTACAATAATGACATACGGTTAGTGATTTTTTAACAAGTGAGACGATTTTTTGTTCCATGTTGTTAACTTTAATTTTAAGACAGTGATGTACCTTTGATTCCATCTTCGTACGATGTGTATATCTTCTAACTCGTTAGCTATGGCTATGTCTGAAGGTATGAAGTTACGTTTCAGATTTAACTGAACGTTCTAAGTGTTTAACTAGTAAATTACTGTCAGAAATTGTGTTACGACAAATGAATTAAAACCGAAATAGATAAAAATAAAAGATGTGATATGATTGCCAACGACAACGAGACAATTTTCCCCAGACACCAAATGATGTAAACGTAAGCATATATATTAGTCTTGGTCACCGTATGGCCTTCAACAATGAGCAAGACACATACCATATAGCATGCTATAAAAGACAAAGACATGAATCATGTACAAAAAAAAGTAACACAAATATGATAGTCAGAACACATGACAACCACTGACTTAAAGGCTCCTGACCCAGGACAGGCACACGCATCCAACGAATTTTAATATAAGATAAGAAGATTTGGTATGATTGCCAATAAGACACAATAACGTTAAAACTCACTACATCATTTGCCTGTTCTTAGCAAGGAACCTGTTATTCGGTAAATGTATTTTTTTGTTTGTTGCTGTCTGTCATATTTGTTTTTCGTTTAATGTTTTACGCCGATGATGTTGTCACAGTTTGTCGTAACGGGGACTTTTATAGCCTACGGTATGTGTTTGGGTGTTTGTATTCTTGAATGTTGTATGATGACCAATAGTTGCTGACATCCACGTTATTTGGCTTCTGGTGGAAGGTTGTCTCATTGTCAATTTACTTACTTGTATGTACAATGGAATGAAATTGGTGTGCAAAGGGGTCTTGTTTTCAAACTCTATCAAATTAACTTAAGACAAAAATTGTTAGATAATATTTAATGAGAAAAGGAAAACAATATAAAAGAAGAGGAAAATTATTTAAAAATACATATTTTGCTTCATTTCTGTATACTAAATCAATCATAAAAAATGCGAAAAAGACTTACAGATTGCAAGCGAGTTTATGTATGATTTTAAATTTAGCTATGTCTGTTGCAGCCTGCTGCTTTGATTTTTTTCCAGTACGAATTAGTTGAACTTTTCCTACAGCCAGTTGGACCTCCATTGTGCATGCGTGCGTAATCTTCACAAGTCTTGCCACATGTCTGGCCCCCGTAGCGTCTCATGAAAGCATGTGTACACCCCTTTGCACAATTGTAGTCGTTCGCACACTGTCTATAACCTGTAAAAGTTAGATGCAAATTTAGTTTATTATAAATAAGAAAATTAAATATCTATTTAGTTCTAAAATAATAATGTTTCCGCACGATTCGGATTTCAGCGCACATGATACGTATTTCTATGGCAATCTCAATGAGAATCTAGATATGATATACTGAAAAAGTATAACAGAAATACCGAACTCCAAGGCAAATTCAAAAAGGGGAAGTCATAAAAACTAAAAAAAATCAAACGCTATCAATCAAAGTGAAAAACAACTGCCATATTCCTGACTTGGTACAGGATTTTCCAAAGAATATGGTGGGTTTAACTTGGTACAGGCATTTTCCAAAGAAAAGGGTTGGTTTAACTTGGTTTTATGGCTAGCTATATAGATAAGAATAGGCTGATTCTTCAGATAATGGGTTAAAAAATAAAGTCAAGAAATTCCTGGGCAAAATTATAAAAAATAGAAAAAAATTACCTAAAAACTAAAGAATACAGAAATGCTTTTAACTTTTAGGAACACAAAAAGTACAAAGAATTAATCAGAATAGCCTAATATCCAGTTGCAGCCTTATTTATAATTACATACTGGTTAACCTATTAAAAGTGTTGAATGAAAATGAATCCTTTATATATAACCCGTATCGACGCACTGTCTAACGGGCGCGTATATGCAGATGATATATATATACCCTCGAGGACCTATGTAAAGTCCATTAAATCGAGTTTATAGTGCAGTTAGAACACTTCCTGTTATCTTTGTGTTCCAAATATAGTTAAAAGGCGAAATTTCTTGCAATGTCGATTTCATATCACGTCAATTTTCTTCACAACTTGGGGTGCCTTAAGATTTGTTAAACCTCGCCCGTCCCTAGTTTCTAATACTCATACAAATGACATTGACCTAATATTGTATACGTATACACATATTAAGTCTATTAGTTACGTGTACGGAACTAACCGATATTTTTTCTTCTGTTGTTACCCTTAGTACTGAAAAGAAATAGGTAGCACCTGCAGACTGAAAATCAAGGGCAGCTGTACTCGCAACAATAACTATTTCATATAATTCAAATGAAGTGCACCCAAACTTATATACTGATAATATATCTCCTTGTACATACAAAATTATTACGCCTGTGCATGATAAAATCATACTCCAAACGTATTAGAATGGATAAATGCACGTATTAACTATATGGTTGCCCTGACGTCGACCAGTGAAATATAATTAAACAGATGCCATTGAATTTTTGTGATCTAATCCAATGTCAATTTATACTATGTTCATTATTTTTTTTTCAAATTTCAATCGCCGATTAAGTTGTTATATGATAATAAAAAAAAACAATTACCAATAAGAAATATTTTCTGCATTTTAGTGTTAAACAAAGTTATTAACTATATATCAATTCATGAAAAGTGATAAAAAAGAAGTGTGTACACTAACCAACTGGTAACTGGTTTCCTTAGCGTATGTCTACACTTACCACCGCCTGGTCGATGACAGTCTATCCAGAACGTTTCTTTTATCTGAAGTGGTCCACAGGAGTCCGAGCCGACATCCAAACGGCATCCTATGTTTCTATTACATCTTGATTCTACCTTAAATTCAAATGATGTTTGTGAACACACAATGCGTAATATTCAAAAATACTAGAAGTAATTCGAATATTTATTAGTTATAATAAACTATAAGTGATGATTTTTCCGTTTTCGATTGGCATGCGAAGTAAACTGGTTCTGCGAAATGTAGTTCTGTCGTGTGCTTAGGTAAAACCAATTTAAAAATCTCTTTACCAGTAGTTGCAATATAGCAAAAGGCATTATACTTTAAACAACAGTAAAAAAGAAACCAGACTGGATATAATGAAGGCTGCTGGAATGAGCCGACTGTACGGTAAGGGTTTTTCTCATTGTTGAAAGCCGTACGGTGGACTGTAATTGATTACTACCACTTCATTTTAACTCTGGTTGATAGTTGTCTCATTGCCAATCGTACCACATCTCCTCATTTTTATATTAAAATTTTATTTAAATCTTGTATCAATTTTTTAAGAGTTATATTTCAACTGATAATACGAATTTTAAGAGAAAGAACCGTCAATTCCAGTTATATTACTCTTGTGTTGTTTCTTCCCTTTTTATCATTTATTGTTATGAAAGTTATTTTGATCTCGGCTGACTTACAAAGTAATTCGCGACCAAATGACTTTATGCTAAGTTTGAATGAAAGGTTGAAATAATACATAAATTACCTCCGAAAAAATAACTAAAATATTACTTATCATTCTGATAAAACGCATTCGGGGTTAAATCAATGAATAGATAAACATCATTGAGGACTCTAATTTAGGAGGAGAGCTTTCTGGATAACACATAAGTCCTGTGCTCCACTAATTGGTAGATAATGTTTGCAAGATCGATCAAAACTATGGTTAAAAAAATCAATGCTGAATACACTTATTTATTTTACTACAGGGTTGAAAATTAACGGGGGTCAGTGTAGGAATTTAGTGCGAATTTACAATGTTTGGAAAAAAGGCCATGTAAATGGCCCATAAATCCCACATGACCCTTGTTTTGATTGTTGCAAAAGATGGGTCTATTTTTGTACTTTAATGGATAATATATGAACGCTTCTGATCTTTTAAAGGTAAGCCAGGTATAAATTTAAATCCAGTAATAGGTTTGCATTGAAGTCAATGGGAGATTTTTTACTGAATTTATCCCTTCAATATTATGTTCAGATAAGATATCTTCTTGACGCTTCCATAACTATCACGCATGTGCAGGAATTCAAACTAGTGGCATTGTGGACAGAGTTTCAGACGTACAAACTGTTTGGTTGCCATGCCATCGACCAATGAAAATAGATTTAACATACAGGACATCATTATTATTGTGATCTAATATCATTATCATTGATTCAATGTCAAGTCATTTTTTGGCAGCATGTCAGTCGACAAATAAGGTTTAATATAAATATTAATCTGTCGAAGTTCACCTGGTATAATGTTTATACTTACGTGACAAATACAGGCCAGGCACTTGTCAGAAATTGCTGAAAGTTTAATTAGCTATCTGTTAAAAGTGAATAGATGAAAAAGTAAATAATGTGTGTTCCAAAATTTTTTACACGTGAGATATTCTTAATAAAACATCATAGATTAAAAACCGAATATATTATATACAGTCAACGCTGTTCCCCCTTTTCCTACCAAAGTTAATTACAATATGTTCTGACACTATTATGTACGAGTGCCAACTTTTGAGCAGAATCTACTTACCCTCGTAAAGCACCCGAGATTACCCAGGTTTTTTTTGTTGGGGTGCGTATTTCCCAGCTCAAAACATTTTATCTTATCCTAAACAAACATGCTACAGAAATAAATCAAACACCAACCAAAAAAACTGTGATTTTGGAAAGTTTGGTTACGTTTCCACATTAACGTTCAATTTGAGGTTTGATTTAGTAGAATGTTACCACAAATCTACGAGTTTTTAATATCATTTGTCAAATATCTAGAAAATAAGATTGAGTAGTCCAAAGTCTAAAAATGATCGATCTTGATAGTTTTTTGCAAGAAAAATACATCTTTTTTTGTCTATTAATTTTCTTTACGAAGTGTAATTTTTATACACATGATTGATAGTTAGCTCCATATTTCTAACAAAAAACATATGCAAGACAATCCTGCATCGTTTCATCTATAAAACTATAAACTTTTATCAGGAATATATCAGAGAAATCTACCGTAAACAGTGAATTTAGAAATTATTGCGAGCATTTTGTATTGCGATTTTGACATGAACAGCCAAAATTTGAGAAGAATTATTGCTATTTCTGGAAAAACTGCATACAGATAAATGTTTCAGATATCATTTGCGAGTTCTTATAAATGCGATACTCACCCAGTCAAATTTTTCTCATTAAATTTGCTATATTTACCTTAAACAAAATACATTCCATATAACTGATAAAAAAGTTATGCTACCTACTCGGTAATAATATCCCAGCATGCATATGGATGGTCAAAATGATGACCAAAACTTTTAACGAACATTGAAGAGCCAGCATCCTGAAAAAAAAACATTTCGTTATTTATTTATTATCTTTGAAAAAAGTCTAGCCTAAAGCCAATCCTGTTTGCTTCTTTTAAATTTGTTACCTCTAACTAATGTAAAGTCAGCTCAATATTGTTATATAGAAATTAATAAAGCGTAAAACTAGCAAATAATACTGCTTAACCCTTCTATAGGTTGCACATCGTAAATACAGCTGTTTGACAAACCACGCCTCTTTTGGGGAGATATATAATATTCATAGATATTTTGTTTTGTTTACGTACTTGTTCCCAGGTATGATCTCTATGTTTCATCTCATAGAGACATAATTTGGGAATGTTACCAGTATAATTATACATGGATAGCGGCGATATTGAATTCTAAGGAAGACCCAAAATGAAGGGATGGGTAGTACAGAATTTTAGTATAAGTTTAAAGTCTTAGAAGTTCGGGGCATATAAATGTTGAAAATATGCCGCACAGTCCTATGTTTTGACCTTTGAATAAAATAGTTGTGCATATCTACTTTCCATTCTAGGATATAATTTTTTACGAAACTTCATAGTAAAAGTGGCACAGTTTTAGTCGTAAAGGGAGTTCTTATGGGAAATTGCATTGTCTATATTTACAGATGTGCAACCTATAAGAAGGAAATATATCCGACATATTGCAACAAAATTTTTTTTTTCTTTCTAAATATTACTTTACCTTTAGTGAGTGAGCCCCAATATAAAGAACAAAAGCTTATAACGACCTGACGGCGTAGTTTTATCCTGATCTTGGATGTCATAATAAAATGAGATCTTCATCTCATTAAATGTAACCATATTTCCAATTTTGGTTTCAATCTCATATGAAAAATGTTGTTTAGCAACCGAAAACCATTTTTCTACTCAATTTTCTGTCTAATTTAAGTAACTTTGACATAAATTGTACACATCTTACATCCAATACATTTAGTGTACAGGGTCAAAGAAAATAACATGATCTAATGCAAAGCCAAAATATATGTATTTACAGGTGTATAGCAATAATAATTGCAATTGTTCAACCAAAAACTTAACGTTTACTAAATTTTTATTACTGGGAATCAATTTTGAATTCAAATTATACCCATATTTCAATTTTATTGAAATCCTAGCATACAACAATGTTTCTCAATTTTCAATTTTGTTATGTTCCACTAAAGCTTTGTTTAAATGCTCCTCTCCCAATCTCCCCTTATCTAGAAATAAATGTATCAAGTTGCTTCTCAAAATTTGTGATGTTTTTACAAAAAAAACCTATTTTTTTCACCACAATGAATTATACAATTTTCTAAAAAATGGAAAGGATTTCACATCTACAAATATGCAAATATGCAAAGGTGCAATATTTCATAGGTGTCTTACAAATACTTTTAAAGAGGCAATTTCTCAAAATAAGTGATTTTGTAACAACTAATTGTCTTTCCAAAACAAATTGCCTATTTGTACAAACAAAATATTTACATCTGCATGATATACAACTACGTATACTGTGAACAGTTGTGTTGGTATCCTTCCAATATTTTCGGCATTTTTGCGTATACAAAAACAAATGTGACAGACAGACGGACAGGCAAAATCAAAACTGTAGGCCAACCGTATTCTCGAAGACTAGTAGATGTTTAATATTTTACATAATAAAAAGCAGTAGAAATGGTGAACCTTACATATAAAAATAAGAAGATGTGATATGATTCCCAATGAGAAAACCCTCCACAAGAGACCATATGACACAGAAACTAACAACTATGGGTGAATAACGGCCTTCAACAATGACCAAAACCCATACCGCATAGTCAGCTATAAAAGGCCCCGAAATGACAAATGTAAAACAATTCAAACGAGAAAACTAACGGCCTAATTTATGTACAAAATAATGAACGAAAAACAAATATGAAACACAGCAACAATCGACAACCACTGAATTACAATCTCCTGACTTGGGATAGGCACATACAGAACATGACGGGGTAAAACTAGTTTGAAGGCACCAACCCTCCCCTAAACTGTGACAGTGGTGTACAACATAATATCAAACTATACAAATCAGTTGAAAAAGGCTTAACTCATCAGATAGATACAAATAGAAATACTTCAAAGAAAAACAGTGGACGTGGCAGGATACTTATACACAACAAAAAGACACGAAGTACAGATCTGAGAGTACTCGCAGTTACTGACAGCTAGTTCAAAGCCAATAACAACGAATAAAAAAAATCATGCATCTACGACTATGCACAGTATTCCATCACTGTTCAATAATAAATATGCAAAATTCATACATAACATATAAAGACACTAATGTGAAAATTGTATAGATTAGACATATTTTTTAAATGAATAAAGAAAAAATGACATAAAATATAAAATAATTTAGAAAAGAAAACCCATTCCCTCCACCCATTCAAACCCGCCTATAGCATTTGTCTGTGATTACGTAATCGTGCAGACCATTCATCCTTTTTAAGAAGGGGGGGCTCTTTCTTTAGACAAACAATTTGCTTCGACTTTAACAAAAACTTTTTTTCAAGATTATACAAGACGAAGTATAATTTTAAAGCTCAATTTGATACCAAGATTTTCAGAGAACGGATAATTCGACCCTACCCCCTTTTCGACAGAAAAATTGCATTCTAAAAATTTAGAACCGCACATAAACATAAATAAATCTCACCCTCCCCTACCCGTCAAAATAAAGGAAAATTCACAGCTACAAAATGAATGTAAATTTAAATTACTTCTCCAAGTACTGTTAGGAAAATTTTTCATGTATTTTTTTCTAATAATTTCTTGCTTTCTATGTAAAAGAATTAAATTGCTCCTCAGATACAGTAAGAGAAAAGATATAAGCGTGTCTGCATGGGTTTTTTTTTTTTTTTTTACTTCGCGGACTTCACGTGAACAGATTGGTAAACACGTGTTTTGTTCATTTGAGTTACAAATATAAAACCATTGAAGTTACTACCCTTGAATATGCTCATTCCTAAAATTTAGAAATGCTCAAAAATTAAAATATTTTATATTTAATTAAACAGAAAAAATCAATAGAAGGATCAACTACCAAAATCAAATGAAAGCAAAATAAATATGACTCCTTTGTAAAACTTTAAATGCAAGAAATAAAAATTTTAAATACCAAATCGTACATTATTTCTATTGAAATAAAAAGTTCCACTTCGACATTTTGTATTGTGATCATACCTAATAAAGTTAACTGAAAGTTTGAGAGCCGCCCTTTCCATGTACTGGTAGGCGTGATTACCCCCCCCCCCCCCCCCCCCCCCCATGGGCTTTATTCATAGACCTGACGGAGTACAACCTATTGCCACAGCCATGCACGAAAACACTAGTGTATATTCTTTATTGGTTTCACATAGCCAATAAGAATTTATTTGGAAAGACCTCTATCTCGCTCACTCTGTCTCACTCGCTCTCTCTCTCTTCTCTTCTCACTTTTCTTCTCTTCTCTTCACTCTTCAAGTGTGGGCAAGAGAGGAGCGAGTGAGCAAGAGAGAAGTTGAGAATGTGACTGAGCAAGATAGAAAAGGGTGAGCGGGGGATGTGCGCGAGAGAGGAGAGTGCGAGCGAGCGAGCGAGAGAAGAGAATGTGAGCGAGGGAGGAGAGCGGGAGAGTGCGAGCGAGAGAAGAAAGAGCGAGTGTGGGTGTGACACACTACGAATGACATAATAGAGGGAGAGTGGTTGCGAATCAGAGCGAGAGAGCAACAGTCATAATAGTGATAATAATAATAATAATAATATCTTTATCTAAACGGATCTGGATTAATATAGATATGAGAAGTGGTATGATTGCCAGTAATCATTGACTTTTAAATTTTGGGCATTTTTTATAAGACGCGAGCTTTCCTCTGACGTCTTGTTAGCAATTTTAAGATTAATAGAATTAAATTTCGAATGTTTAACTAACTAACTCTAGTGATATTGGGTGTAATTAATCAGTATTTTTTATTGGATTATTATGCATATAGATGTTTTTGTTCAATGTTTGTATCCTCTTACTTTTTAACTTACTATTATTCAGATTGATTTTAATGGGAACCTCATATTTCCGCCACTTACTCTCTATTATCATTCTAGTCTGTATTTGTTACTTAACCACTACTGTCTGACAAAGAAATGTTTTCTGCTGAAGATAATATTTCATGTGGTTTAATAAACATAGAACGTCAGATCGAAATGGGAACATTAAAAGTGTAAGTGGTTCCTATTTGGCCTGTTGCAAGGCAAACTTTTCCTACCTTACATACCCTCATTCTGCAGTGCCAGTCAATTTTTTGAAATTTTACGTTTTATCTATTTGTATATGAACAAATAAGCAGACCTTTCATCAGTTTGAGATAAAAAAAAATATTCAAAAGCAATCGGAATTGGCTTTAAGTAAGAACTATAAAAATATGGAGATGTGGTATGATTGCCAATGAGACAACTATCCACCAAAGTTCAAATGAAGTGGATGTAAGCTATTATTTGCAACCGTACAGCCTTCGTATTCAACGTATCGTATAGTTGTCTATAAAAGGACCCTAAATGAAAAATATGAAACTATTCAATTGAGAAAACTAACGTCCTAATTTATAACAAAACAATTTACGAAAAACAAATATGACAGACATGAACCAGCGACAACCACTGAACTACAGGCTCCAGACTTGGGACAGGCACATAAATAATGTGGCGGCGTTAAATGTATTTCAAGGCGCCAACTCTTTCCCTAACACGGGACAGTGGTGCATATTAACCGATCTGAGCTTCTGTAGCCCCCAAATCTCCTGCCGTATAAAATCATCACTCTAAGATAAACGGAATCGCCAATTAATTATGGCGACCTCGTCCGGCTTGTTTCAAATGTTTTAGTACACTTCATCATTTGCTAGCTACGCCATGCCTTGTAATCACGCAAGCTGTACATTAGGGTCTGGATTAGGATTTACAGAGAAGATAATAGTTGGCAAAACGTGCCTCATAGA